TAATGCAAAACTATAGAAGAGGTTTATTTACAATTATTTAAATGGGTAATCATTTTAATGTAATTTATATAATTTAAAATTTTTATTTATGATTCTCATTTTTATTGTGTATTATCAAAATATTGTTAAATTTTAAGGCACTACGTAAGTATGGAAGGAGATCAAAATTGGATGTATCATTGTCGTGATGAGATGGAATATTGGAACAATCAATTTGATGTTGGAGTGGAAAATTTCTTGGATTTTGCATTTTCACAGACAAACTCAATGTTTTGTGCTAAAAATATGATTCATTGCCCATGTACTAAGTGTTGGAATAAAGAGTGGCACCATCGACCTAAAGTGAGGGTTCATCTCATCACGAATGGCTTCATGGATGGGTACCTTATTTGGAATAGACATGGAGAAATTATAAGTAGAAAACGACGTTGCTCCTAGGTGGGTGAGTCAAGTGTGGCTACCACTATGAATAATATTCCAAGTGTTGATCAACTTAAAGACATGCTTCATGATGCCATGGGCCCTGATTTTTTTAATAATGAAAATAGTGTTACAGTTGTAGAAGATGCAGCGTAATTTGGTTGTGGTTTTGAGGATGCATCTAGTGATGATGAGTCAATATTTGAAGAGCCAAGAGGAGATGCAAAAAAATTATTTGATCTTCTACAAGCAGCTTAGACACCTCTTTTTTATGGGTGTGATGATGGTGTCACCATTTTAAAGTGGGTGTGTGAGCTTGTAAATGCAAAGACACTTTTTAATATGAGTGTCACTAATTAGGACTATGTGATAAAATGTAGTCTAATGGCATTCAAAAAAAGGGATCGAGAAAAATTACCAAAAGATTATTATAGTGCCAAGAAGATGTTGAGACACCTCAGTCTTGGGTATAAGAAGTATGATATTTGTGTGAACAATTTTTTTTTGTATTATGAAGAATTCGAAAGCCAATGCTATTTAGAGTGCCTAGTATGTGGAGAGCCACGATTTAAGTAGAGTGATGTTCAGTCTGCTAAGCCCATAGTAAAAAAGTCTTTGTGGTATCTCCCAATTATTCCTAGACTTCAAAGATTGTACATGTCTAGGAAAATTACCGAGCATATGATCTAGCATTTGAATTGTTGTAATGAAAATGAAAAAATTGTTCATCCTGCATGTAGGGATGCGTGGAAACACTTTGATCGCACCCATCTTGACTTCACCAATGAACCGAGGAATGTCAAGCTAGGCCTATGCACTGATGGGTTTACTCTTTTTGGACAATCTACATCTCCATAATCTTGTTGGCTAGTCTTTGTGTCATTTTACAATTTGCCTTCAGCAATGTGCATTAAGGAAGAGTATGTATTCCTTTCATTGATTATCCAAGGTCCCCAAAGTCCTGGAAAGAACATTGATATAATGTTGTGGCCACTAATTGATGATCTTAAACAACTTTGGTACTTTGGGGTCCAAACTTATGATAGTTTTAGACATCAATACTTCCTAATGAGAGTTGCAATTATGTGGACCATTAGTGACTTTCCTGGGTATGCAATGTTGTTTGGATGGAGCACACATGGTAGATTAGCTTGTCCATATTCATGGAAAATTCAAAAGCCTTTTGGCTACAACATGGTCGGAAGACATCATTTTTTTATTGTCTTCGACAGTTTTTGCCACAAGATCATCCATTTCGAAGAAATATGAATGATTTCACCAAGGGGCGTGTAGAGAATACAACCGTGCCAAAGAGATTATTTGGTGATGAGATGCGCAGTCGCGTCCAATGGCTACCTAATATACTATTTGGCAAGCCACCTCAAAAACAAGAAACTCAAGGATTTGGTGACATGCACAACTGGGTTAAAAAAAGCATCTTTTGGGAATTACCATATTGGCATACAAACTTGATTCGACATAATTTAAATGTCATGCATTGTAAGAAATGTTTTTTTTGATAATATCTTACATACAGTAATGGATGATCCAATGAAAAAAGACAATAGAAATGCAAGACTTGATCTAGAACTGTATTGTAAAAGGAAAAGTCTCCACATACCCAAAATAGGATCGAAATTATGTAAAAAACCTAAGGCCACTTATGTTCTAAGTAGAGATCAAAGAAAATTAGTATGTCAGTAGTTAAAAGAACTCAGATTCCCAAATGGGTTTGCATCCAACATATCTCAGTGTGTGAATATGCGAGAGGCACGATTGTTCGATATGAAAAGTCATGATTGTCACATTTTCATGTAGAGCCTCCTACCAATTGCATTTCGTGATTTACTACTGAAACAAGTTTGGGAGCCTTTTGTTGAGATTAGTGAGTTTTTTAGGGCCTTGTGTGCTCTTGTGATTCAGGCCAATGATATGGTAATGTGGCAGAAGAAGATAGTAGAAATCATTTGCCAACTAGAGTGGATTTTTCCACCTTCATTCTTTGACTCTATGGAACACCTTACAATCCACCTTGCATATGAGGCACGTGTAGGTGGACCGGTGTAATACTGGTTGATGTATCCATTTGAGAGGTAATTATTACTAATTTATAATTAATGTGTATATGAATATACTTGCATATCTTATTTGTATATCTTATTTGTAAAGAAATTATATTATAATTCTTGGTGAATCAGGCAAATGCATTGTCTTAAGTTGACAGTCAAAAACAAAGCATGCCCAGAAGCATCCATATGTGAGAGTTACATAATGTCTGAGCTTAGCCATGAAGAAGGATTAGCACCATATTATCATGACGATGATCCTCCTATTCCTCACCCAATAAATATTTATGAGATAAGTTATGAACCTATGCAGCATTATGATGGAACACTTGTTGAAGTACATGAAGAAGTTGATGATAGGGAAAAGATTGGAAAAGAGGATGATGAGGGGGAGTGGGAAGATTTTGAAACATCTGATGAAGAAAACATAGAAGCTTTTATTTCTAAAAATGACTGTAGCGATGAGTAGGCAAATTTGTTGTCAAAACTAGTTGTTATTAAATTAAGTTTATATTTGCTTATTGGAACTTCTAAAACTATATTATTTATATTATTTGTTTTTTAAGTGTAATTTTGTTAATATTTGGTAGTTTATATTGCTATCATGATATTTATTTTATTTTGCATGTTTTGTATGGTCATAATTGTATTTATTTTATTTCACATATTAATCTTAATCTATTAAATACTATAATTATATTACATGTATTGTGTGTTTTATTATTATAATTTAGTTTGATAATTTTTAGTTTGTATTTATATAATCATATTTATTTTATTTAAAATGTTAATTTTAATCAATTAAATAGGTTAAATATCTAATTGGGCCCCTCAACTTCTATTTTTTAACGAAATTCATCCTTAAACTTCAAATATCTTAAAATTTTTATTTTATTTAGTATGTTAATTTTAATCTATTGTCATTAAGTTAATTTACTAATGAACTTATTTTTCTTTTTATTATTTTTGCAGTGGACTGTTGCAGTTCACGATGTATAGAGACAGTTGATACATCTCAGCCTAATAGACGTCAATCTCAGTTTGATCCTCAACGTCAAATCGAGGAGGATGCTGCAGTTGATATAGTTCCTGAGACTACAAATGATACGACTGTTCATAGTTCTAGCAGTCCAGATGATACAGAGCTAGCACCACATCGAAGAAAGGGACGGGGAAAGGCAAAACCAATGAAAATGCCAATAGATGGCAATAAAATTCCATTGGTGCTTGATGATGAGGGTAATATCCCGCAAGATATTAGGTGGGAAATTGTTATGCAATTAAAGGATAATCTTCCAGATGCTTATACTGCATGGGGATTTGTTCTAGAAAAGCATCGAGATTATTATTGGAATGAGTTTTGCGCATGGCCCATCCTTTATTTATTTAATTTTAAAATATATTTATAATTATTTCTAACACATTTTCATGCTTTTTGTTTTTTCCCCAGCAAAAATTTCAATGGGAGCCAGAGATTCATGATAGGGTAAAATCATTGTGGCATCAAACATGCAATATCAAATTTAAGCACGCGTTAAATGAGCTAAAAACAGAGTCCGCAGCAGACAATTTTCAAGTGAAGCCCACAAACATGAATCCTGAGCTTTTTCAAAAGCTTGTTCATATATGGATTGAGGTAATGAAGTATTGTGTTAAAATTTTTAAATATTGGCAATAGCAATGCTTAATTATTTTAATATCATATGAAAATATTTTCATCAAATTTTTAGGATGAAGACCATATTGGACGGTCCAATGCTGCAAAAGTAAATCGAGCCAAAGGCTCAAAGGTTACACACACTAGTGGGTCTATGGATGTTATTAAATATAGGAAGAAAATGGTGTAGAAGTTACCCATGTTTTTGAAAGTTTATTAGCAATATTTTTATATTAATATATATTTGTCTTAAAATTTGTAAATTTTTCCATTACAGCAGAGTGTAGATCCAACGGGTCGTCCACCCTCATTCCCAGAGGTGTACACAAGTAGGAGGCAGCATCGGCCAAAAGGAAAAGATCGACTGCCCACATACTGTAATGATGAGGCTAGGGAAATTAGCATAAGTATTTAATAATATGAAATATAAAACTTGAAATTATTTATTAACGGATTGAAGTTAGTTTTGAATGGTGTTATTATTCATCTTACCTAACAAACTGGCTATTACTGCTCTTGTTTTTTCTCTTGAATTTGTCACTTTTGCTACTCAAAACTCTTGAATTTTGCTTCTAAAAATGAATTTCCATTTTTAACTTCAAAAAATATTGTTATATTCCAAGATTTTCATAGAAGAAGATGTGATTTAATTGGGGAATCAAGGGCTAGGAATAGGAATATTTAAGGTTTTGGTGATAGTGGTGAATTTTGTCCATGATTCAAACCACATTAGTTTCACATCCAACAAGGAACCATAATTTAAGCAATCCTTCTTTCTCAATGTCTGCAAGAATCTCATCATTCTTTACTTTGATATGCTATTTGTTTTAGAATAAAGAAAACATAGTTTTGAATAGTGTTATTATGCAAATTATGTTGAATGTGGGTATGTGTATTTTGTTGGTAAAAGGCCAATTTTTAGAGGAAACTCTGTTGATTTTTTTAAAAGTTAGTATGAATAAATCAAAATTATTGAAATTACTCATTCTAAGTAATTCCTTCATCATCATTATCATCAAGGATTTTGCAATCATCTTCAGAATCCCAAGAGGGTTTTCCTTCTAACTTTGATGGGTTTTTCATTGGTTTGACATAATTAGATATTTATATTATTATCATGACTATTATAGATTTTTTTCATATTCATATTAGCTTCTTTTTTTTTTGGTGTTCATATGATTTTAAGAAAAATTAGCATCTGAGTATGCAACTAGGGAAAAGGAAGAAGGATTTGACCCAACACAGATCCATGGCGACCTATTAATGAGAGCAACTGGTGGGGTGAAAAGGGGATGGTTAAAAGGTCTTGATATCCACACCATCACATGATGTAGGTGTCAGTTTCAAGTGAGAGCCTTCGAGGCCCCCAATAATGCAGCACTCTCCCCAAGTTGAGTTACAACAAACTGTTCAATTATTAAAAGATGAGTTATAAGGGACTCAAGATGAGCTACAGGCATCTAGAGCTGAGTTTGAGGCATCTAGAGTTAAGTTTGCTGCTATGCAACCATCAAATATGTTGTTAACTAAAAATTTACAATTCTTATACCAACAGGTTGGCATGACACCTCCCTTTACCAATGGCGCTACTACTCCCAGGACACCACATTTGTAGGCCTCATAAATAAGATGTTAAACTTATATATTTATAAATAATGACATAATATTGTTAAACACTAGCTTTTATTATCCCTTTGTTCTAGGATATTTGCCTTTCTTGGTTGTCCACTTCATAGCAGGATTTATTCTAAAGAAACTTTCACATTCTAATAATAATTGCAAGAAATTAAAGTATATTGTGCATAATATTTGGACCACTGTTTGTCTGGAAAACTTATTCGAACCAACAATGGTCCGAATATAGCCCCCAGAATCTAAATACTTCACTTTTAATACATTTTCATTCTTTTCGTTTAAGGACAACAAGCCTTTCTCGGGCCCCTTGGATTGTTCTTATTAGTTTTAAGTATAGGTTTTAAAGTATTCAAGGCATTTAGATACTGTTGTTCGAGTGAGAGTACAATGGATCGGGCATAGTTTCAGGTATAAAGGAAAAAAAAAAAGATGATGTACAAGATTTTCAGACCACTGTTGGTCTGTAGCATTTACTCAGACCAATAGTGGTTCGAATAAACTTACAAGAATCTAAGACCCTCTCTTCTAAAACATTTTCATTCTTTTCGTTTAAGGGCAACCATGCTTTCCTGAGCCCTTTGGATTGTTATTGTTAGTTCTAAATATAGGTTCTAAGCTATTCAAGGCCTTTAAATGCTCTTGTTCAAGTGAGAGTATAACAGATAAGGCACAGTTTAAGGTGTAAAGAAAAAAACAAATAAAATGTGCATGATATTCGAACCACTGTTGGTCTAGGAAAGGTATTTGGACCAACAGTAGTATGAATAAATCAACTA